TTATTATTATTATTATTATTATTATTATTATTATTATTATTATTATTATTATTATTATTCATCCATCATCGTCATCATCATCCATCATCATCATCATCATTATTATTATTGTTATTATTATTATTGCTATCATCGTTATTATTATCGTTATTATTATTATTATCATTATCATTACCGTTTGTCATTATCATCATTATTTTTTATTCGCACAGCTAATAAAATCAGACAAATTTCAGTATGTTTTATAACGTTATTGTAAATAATTATGCTGGATTTATTAGTTTTCGCAGGCGAGCGACAGCTTATCTTATGGTGAAATTGTGAGCCAACCTAATAATTCATCACTGTTTTCTCGTTTTACATCATCGAAAATGAGCGGACTTTTTTTTTTTACAGGATGATTGTTGATCTGATGCCGATACTTGCTGATCATCGTGAATATTCGAAAAGCTCGTATTCATACATACCAAAAATGCTGGAACTGGATGACGCTGACGTCGTCGCGATTCGTGTATGCTTTTTTTAATATGCGGAGTGAGAGAATTTCGAAAACAAAATTGTTTTCTAAAAAATATTTTCAAAAATATTTTAAAAAAAGAATATTTTTGAAAGAAAAAAAGCGAATTTTTCAAATTTTTTTCAAATTTTTTTTCGAAAATTGACCTAGAAAAATTGACTCAAAAAAGGAGTACTTTTAAATAAAAACAAAAAATCAGGGATGATTGGCTCGAAAACGTTTTTACGAGACTCTGGCATCACAAATATGCGTGCCCGTAGTTTGCACAGTGATTTGATTTTGACATAGTGACTTTTCCACTTTCCCAAAGCTTTCCATATAGAAATGATCACAACCACGTTTGTAGCGTTTGATAGAAGAGCGTCTGTCTGATGTCTGGCGATGGATGGAAACGCTGATGGATCGTGCTGAAGCGCAATTTCGTTTTGGAAGTGCCCTGATGGCATCGCCAAGTATTGCGGCAGTGTTACGTAAAGAGAAAAAAGTGGCACATAGCAAAGCAGAAACGCCAAAGTAAAAAATTTTTTCATTGAAAATGAAAATCAAAATTGTGAAAAAAAATTTTAAAAAAATTGAAAAAAACTTTAAAAAATTGAAAAAAGTGAAAAAAAAATTTAAAAATGAAAAAAAATCGAAGTAAAAAATTTTGCAATCAGTTTTTTTCGTTTTTAAATTTTTTTGACTTTTTAATTTTTTTTAAATTTTTAATTTTTTTCCACAATTTTAATTTTCATTTTTTCACAAAGGATTTTCTTTTTTTTCATTGTTACTGGGGAAACACAGTGAATTTTTTTTTCTTTCATTGGGCACAGTGTGCTTTTTTCATTTTCCACTTTTTTTTTTTGATTGCGGAAACCTTTATACTTCTGCTGATGCACAGCAGTCAAAAACTGATACTGTATGCTTGGTGAGCGGGCTAAAACAAACGCTTTAGAGTT